TTTTCTTATAAATGAAGATGACAACAAAAATTTCAGAACGTATGGGATACAGCAAAAGCAATGTTAAGAGGGAAGTTTATAGCAGTTAGTGCCTACATCAAGAAATTTGAAAGCCATCAGTAAATGATCTAACAACACATTTCAAGGACCTAGAAAAACAAGAACAAATCAAACCCAAAATTAGGAGAAAAGAAATAATTAAAATTCAAGACAAAATAAACAAAATTGAAACAAACAAACAAAACCTAATACAAAAATCAGTGAAATGAAGAGCTGGTTTTTTGAAAAAATAAACAAAATTGATATACCATTGTACTGTACTAACTAACCAAAAAATTAAATTAATAAGTGGAGAAGACTCAAATTTAAAAAATCACAGATGACGGGCCGGTGTTGTGGCACAGCAGGTTAAAGCCCTGGCCTGAAGTGCTGGCATCCCATATGGGCACCGATTCTAGTCCCGGCTGCTCCTCTCCTGAGCCAGCTCTCTGCTGTGGCCTGGAATAGCAGTGGAAAATAGCCTGAGTCCTCGGGCCCCTGCACCCCCATGGGAGACCTGGAAGACGCTCCTGGCTTCAGATTGGCACAGCTCTGGCTGTTGCGGCCATCTGGGGAGTGAACCAACAGATGGAAGACCCCTCTCTTTCTGTCTCTACCTCTCTAACTCTGTCTTTCAAATGGATAAAATAAATCTTTAAAAAAAAATCAGAGATGAAAAAGGAGATATTACAACAGACACCACAGCAATAAAAAGAATCATCAGGAATTACTAAAAACAGCTATATGCCAACAAACTGGAAAACCCAGAAGAGGGGCTGGCATTGTGGTGTAGAAGGTTAAGACTCCACCTGCAGTGCTGGCATGCCATGTGAGTGCTGATTTGAATCCCAGCTGCTCCACTTCTAATCCAGCTCTCTGCTGGTGTGCCTGGGAAAGCAGTAGAAGATGGCCCAAGTTCTTGGGCCCCTGCACCTGTGAGGGAGACCTGGAAGAAGCTCCTGGCTCCTGACTTTGGATCAGCATGGCTCCAGCGATTGCAGCCAACTAGGGAGTGAACCAGCAGATGGAAGACCTTTCTCTCTGTCTCTCCCTCTCTGTCTGTAACTCTACCTCTCAAATAAATAAAATCTTAAAAAAAAGTAATGGGCAAACATGAAAAGGCATTTTTCAAAGGATGAAATTCAGATGGCCAATAGACACATGAAAAGATGCTCAGGATCACTTGCCATCAGAGAAATGCTAATCAAAACCACAGTGAGGTTTCACCTCACCCCAGTTAGAATGGCTCTCATACAGAAACCAAAAAACAGTAAATGCTGGCAAGGATATGGAGGAAAAGGTAGCATAATACACTGTTGCTAGGAATGTAAACTGGTACAGCCACTGTGGAAGACAGTATGGATATTCCTCAGAAAGCTGAAAATAGATCTAGCATATGACTCAGTCATCCCTCTCCTGGGACTTTACCCAGATGAAATGAAATCAGCAAATGAAAGAGTTATTTGTACTCCCATGTTCAGCAAAGCTTAATTTATAATAGCCAAGATATAGAATCAACCCAGACCTCCATCAACTGATGATTAGATAAAGAAAATGTGGTAAATATACACTACAGAATACTACTCAGCCATAAAAAGAATGAAATCCTGTCTTTTTCAACAAAATGGAAGCAACTAGAAACCATTAGGCTTAATGAAATAAGCTATTCCTAAAAGGACAAATAGGTTTTATATGATATTTAGTAGTTAATATAGAAAACAAAAAAAAAATTTACAGGAATGAAACAGACATTTGTGATTTGATTGTTGTTTGTAGCCCTTGTTTATACTCTTGTTGAACTGTGGTCTTAGTATTTTTTTACTTATTAAATATTTGGTCAGTCGTGCATTAAGGCTGTGTTTACAGAGTAAAGCAAAATTAAGTATTTGCAAAAATTAAAAAGAAGGAAGAAGGGGGATTGAGAGAGGGAGACAAGGAAGGTATTATGTTTATCTTAGAATTGTACCTACGAAATACATGAAATCTGTTCTCTATATTAATAAAAATTTTTTAAAATAACAAAAATTAAAACACATGTTCTTTTTTATTTATTTTTTTTATTTTTTTATTTTTATTTTTTTATTTTTGACAGGCAGAGTGGACAGTGAGAGAGAGAGACAGAGAGAGAAAGGTCTTCCTTTTGCCGTTGGTTCACCCTCCAATGGCCGCCGCTGCAGCCGGCACACCGCGCTGATCCGATGGCAGGAGCCAGGATCCAGGTGCTTTTCCTGGTCTCCCATGGGGTGCAGGGCCCAAGCACTTGGGCCATCCTCCACTGCACTCCCGGGCCATAGCAGAGAGCTGGCCTGGAAGAGGGGCAACCGGGACAGAATCCGGCGCCCCAACCGGGACTAGAACCCGGTGTGCCGGCGCCGCAAGGTGGAGGATTAGCCTATTGAGCCACGGCGCCGGCCTAAAACACATGTTCTACCAACTACCCCTACTATGTCTAATCAGGCTACAGATATGGATCAACCCTGACTTGTCGGATGGGAAAGAAGCCTTAACCCTCAAAGGTTTGTTGTTATTATCAAATATTTATTTATTTGAAAGGCAAAGTGACAGAATAGATGAGACAAAAACAGAGATACTTCTGCTAGTTCTTTCCCCAATGCCTTCAAGAGTCATGGTCAGTCCTGGCTAAAGCCAGGAGCCAGGATTTCCATCCAATTCTCCTCTGTGGGTGGCAGGAACCCAAGTACTTGGGACACCAAGCGCTACCTCTGAGGTGCACTAGCAGGAAGCTGGATCAGAGCACAGAGTAGCTGGCATGAAGCAGGCACTCCAGTATTGACTGGGGGCACCCCCCCAAAAAAAGTGGCTTAATCCACAGGGCTTGATCATGTCATCTCTCGCCTTACCAGATAACAAGAAAGGTATTCCCACTGTCCCTTTCTCAGCAGTGTGATACCTACAATACCATTTTTTTTTTGTCAGTTAATTTCAGGGGAGAGTTGATAAGTCCTCCAAATTGTCTGCAACATTTTTTGTCCTTTGTGCTTATGCATATTTTCCAAGAATCTATGTCTATCATCGAAGTGCCTTTTGAACTCTCCACAGTTAAAAACCGATGTTCAGTAAATGAGCAGAAAGCCCGAATTCCCTTTGGCTTGCAGAATACCTCCTGGTTTAGAACTGGGAAGAGATACAGACTTATCCTATGTTCCAGCAAATACCCACACTGCATATCAGTCCATCCTATTGGCAGGTGATGTTGCAATTCCACACAAATGTTTCTGTCAACATTTAAGGAAAAGCTAGTAGTTTAAGTTTCTGTCAATTTCATAAGTTACTTCCATCAATAGTACCCCAAAACATACTGCTCATTTTGAGACCATTCAAGGGAGTTTTCTTCATGACACCCATGATGTGGTGTCCCTGGAGACAGCTCTCCCACAATAACAACTCAAGTCAATTCTGAGCCTCACTCCTCAGAATTAGCATCAGTGTGCATGGGATAAGTGCTCAGTTCCACAAGACCACCTTCCCTCCAGAAGCCAGGAGCAAGCATCAGGGCTCCAGGTTGCCCACACTTCTACGCTACTTGGCTGCAAATTCAGGGGTTCCCACAACCTTTCCCTTCATGTTTGAGAATCTGCTGGAATGACTGCTAGAAGTCAGGAAAGTGCTGCACTTACTATTACAGTTTATCACAAAGGATATAAGTGACCAGCCAAATGCAGGGGCAGACTGGGTGAGGTTCCTCAAGGTCTTGCACACAGAAGCTTCTGTCCCTGTGGAAATCGGGTGTGCCACCCTCCTGGCACATGCATGTGGTCACCAACTTGGAAGCTCCCTGAACCCCATCATTTAGGGGCTTTTATGGGGGTTACATTATGTAGGTATAATTGACTGAAGTCATCAGCCACTGTGATTAAACTCCATCTTCAGGCCAACCGAGGAGGTCAGGGTAGGGGTGGAGCAGCTGAAAGTTCCAAGACTCTAATCAAGGAGTTTGGTCTTTCCGGTGGTGGCATCCAGCTAGAAGCTAGGTAGGCGGCCTGTCCTCTCATGAGCAAAAACTCATGTCTGGGTGAAACAGGCTCAATATAAATAACAAATGATACGCTCCTGCCACTCAGGAAATTTCAGCTGAGGACAAAGACAAACCCCCCCCCCCGCCCCGCCACAGCTGCATCTTATTATACCACATAGTTACCCTAGCGAGACAAGGAACTAAAGGTCTAAGAGTAAACACCTGATTCAGTTGGCTAACTAGGCTCTCCCAGGCTCCTTGATGGCAAGACCCTGTCCATGTCACTCACTGTTTTATCCCTAGCACCTGTAGTGCTCAGTTTGGCTATTTTCACTCAGAGAATTAGGACAGGGTCATAAGTAAAGCTGAATGATGACCACTCATACTTCCCTGTGCAATGTGCAGGTTAGAAGCCTGCTGTATGCAAAGGCCTGGCTCCAACCTAAAGGCCTCTGTCTCCCTCCATCTGTGTCAGGTGAATAACAACCACCCTCCCCTTTACTGTCCCAGAGGCCGTCAGAGGCTTCCTAACTTTTCCTGCACCAGCATCTCCACGGAGATCCAAGGAGCAGAGGTTCTGTGCTTCCACTCAGGGATGCATCAAGGCTTTTATTTCTTGTCTCAACTCCCTTTCTCGGTTGAAATGTCCCATGTATATCACACTCCCGTATTTCAAGATCCCACAGTGACAGCAGCTAGGCATCTAAACAGCACCCCACTTCTTGGGATTCTAGTTGCCCATTAGGACATAACAACAGTGGTTCTCAAACTCTGGTCCTCCCAGTCACCTGAGCAACATACACACGCTCATCAGTAAACTCCTCTCAGCTTGGATGAGGAGAGGGCACACTTGTGGAAAATTCCCTGGTGGTTTTGTCACCCAACTTCTATCCCACTGAGAATCACTGGAATGAACCCCTCAGCCACATCCACCAGCTACGTAAGTCACTAAGCACAAGGAATGAAGGGGTGCCTAAGGATTCACCTGCTATATTTTTTGTTGAACAGCAAGATCTACTGCAGTCTTGTTGAGTTGGCGTATGCATGGGCTCATTGCCGCGGATTCCCTTAGAAATAGATGCCTGGATGTCAATGACAACATCTGCGAGGCTCTCGGTGAGGCAGTTCTGACCGGTGGACAGCCTTAGAGTCAGGAAGCAAAGGATGACCCCAGTGTAGGTCAAGCTCCACCCTTCCCAGAAGGACATTTTAAATGGCGGTGTTGCCTTTGTCTTTCAAGGTCACAGAGGACCTGTCTTGGTCTTAGTTTGCTTCAGGAAGGCCGCACAGGTTATAGGATTTCTTCTTCTTCCTTGAACAAAAACAGAAAATCATCAGTGAATTTTGTTTCTTTTCCTGAATCAAATGTTTGTTTATTCGGGGCCCGGCAGTGTGGCATAGCAGACAAAACTGCCTATGAAGCCAGCATCCCATACAGGTGCTTGTTTGTGCCTTGGCTGCTTTGGCTTTTCTACTTCTGATCCAGTGCCCTGCTAATGACATGAGAAAAGCAGCAGAAGATGGTCCAAGTGTTTGTATCCCTGCCACCCACAAGGGAGCCAAACAAAGCTCCTGGCTTTGGCCTGGCCTGGCCTGGCACTGATCATTGTGGTCATTTAGAGGAGTGAACTACGTGATGGAAGATCTCTCTCTCTTTCTCTGTGTCTCCACTCTCACTGTAACTCTGACTTCCAATTAAATGAAGAAATAAATGTTAAAAAATTTATTCTCTTATCAGAAAGAGAGAGAGAGAGAGAAGGCCAGCGCCGTGGCTCAATAGGCTAATCCTCCGCCTGCGGTGCCAGCACACTGGGTTCTAGTCCCGGTCGGGGTGCCGGATTCTGTCCCGGTTGCCCCTCTTCCAGGCCAGCTCTCTGCTGTGGCCCAGGAAGGCAGTGGAGGATGGCCCAAGTGCTTGGGCCCTGCACCCCATGGGAGACCAGGAGAAGCACCTGGCTCCTGCCTTTGGATCATTGCAATGCGCTGGCGGCAGTGCGCCAGCCATGGCGGCCATTGGAGGGTGAACCAACAGCAAAAGGAAGACCTTTGTCTCTCTCTCTCTCTCTCACTGTCCACTCTGCCTGTCAAAAATAAATAAATAAATAAATAAAAGAGAGACAGAGAGAATGTTCTATCTACTGGTTCATTCCCCAAATGCCTGCAACTGCCTGGACTTGACCAGACGCAAGCCAGGAATCCAGAATTCAATCTAGGTCTCCCATGTAGGCAGCAGGGACCCAGCGACCTAAGCTATCACCTGTCTCTACCAGGGTGAATACTAGCAGAAAGCAGAGCATCAGAGGACTGGGGACTCAAACCCAGATACTCTAATGTGGAATGTTCCAAACACTGTGCCAAACACCCACCCCTCATTTCCTTTGAGTCAATGAAAAAGACCCAGGCACAATTTGAAGGACAGAAATATTTTGTAATTTGCTTCATTTTTAATAGATTGAAAACAAGCTCTCATTAAAAACTTGGCAAAAAACTAGTAAGCTAGACATACGTACCATCCCATCAATGCTTAGGGGCTGACAGTACTTACTGTGGACTTAAGAGCAGAATGGCAACTACAGATGTCCAAGTTATCTGGAATGCTATCCCGGGATGGGAAGACGCCCTGCAGCTGGTTCCCAGGTAACAGGAACTTACAACAAGGTCTGCGACCAGGGAAACATCTACCTTATCTTACGGAGTGAGCTTTACCTCTTAGGACCAGGTAGGAAGAGCGGCTAATGACCCCATTGTTTGCCTCTCTCCACTTATGGAGAAAATCCAGGGTGGGAATGAGAGTGGGAATGTCATGTACCTTCTCAACGCTAATCAAGCCTGCTAGCCGTGACCAGGCTTTTGACTTTCAGTGTGATGACCACACGGGCATCTGTATTGTTTAAACCTGACTCCACACACGTGCTTACCCTGAAAGAAAAATACAAAACCTATAGCCAAATTCAGGCTTAGGGAAACAGCCAACTCAGATACTGACTGGTTGCTTCCAGGTTTAAACTCTCAGTTTGGGGCCGGCAATGTGGCACAGTAGATTAAGCCTTAGTGCTTGGGCCCCTGCACCCACATGGGAAACCAGGAAAAAGCTCCTGGCTTCAGATCGGCGCAGCTACAGCCAATGCCATTTGGGGAGTGAAACAGCGGATGGAAGACTTTTCTCTCTGTCTCTTGCTCTCACTGTCTTTACCTCTCAAATAAATAAAAAATCTAAATAAATAAACAAATAAACCCTCAGTTTGACTCACTACATGACTTTAACTTTCATTTTTCAATCAGACTCCAAATATTTAACTCAACAGTACGAAGGAAGAAGGAGAAACAAGAGCCCAATCTGAGTTAAATTCATCCACTTCTCACCTCTCACTAAGGTGAGAAGAGGACATAAAATTTCTAGTGATTGAAGAAGCGGTGCTCACAGGTTGGGCATTCTTCCTTTCTCAGTGATAACAACCAGGATTTTTACATCATCTACTGAGAGGTAGGCATGGTGTTCAGCAATTTACATATGCCACTCTCTCAAACCCTCACAGCAATCCTGCACAAAAAAGAGAAAACAGCTATTATGCCTTTCATTCATAATGAAGAAATTGAGGCAGGCTTTTTGTTGTTGTTGCTGTTTATTCTTTAAGTATCAAACCAAAAGCAGATAACTCTAATAATCTAATTCTAGCAATTAGCCAATCAGCAGGGGGACTATTCTAGCTCAGCTGGGGTAAATTTTTTCTATTTGATACTTTTGAAAACCCAAACTGCACACTATGTGTAGCACCGACTTCATTGGTAAGCTGGGTTTTTGAGCAAAAAGAAATGTTAAGCTGGTAAAAAAAGTACCAGAAGCTCTCCTCACCTTCCACTCCCTCAGCTCACCATTTCTAGAACGCAGTGTTCACTGAAGAGTGGATTAGAACAAAGTTACTGCTTCTGGGGCTGGCTTTGTGGCGTAGCCTGCTGTGCCAGTATCCCATATTGGGGCTGGTTCAAGTTCTGGCTGCTCTACTTCTGATCTAGCTCTCTGCTATGGCTGGGAAAGCAGTGGAAGATGGCCCAAGTCCTTGGGCCCCTGCACCCACATGGGAGACCTGGAAGCAGCTCCTGGCTCCTGGCTTTGGGTTGGTGCAGCTCCTACTGTTGCAGCCACTGGGAGTAAACTAGCAGATGGAAGACCTCTCTCTGTCTCTCTCTTTCTATCTGTAACTCTGCCTTTCAAATAAATACATCTTTTTAAAAAATTACTGCTTCTTTAACCTTTCTTTGGTCATGACCCCTTTAGCAGTCTGAGGAAGCTTTAGATTTTTCCAGGAGACATGTCTTGAAATGTATACAATGAAATATATAGGATTACACAGGAAGCCAACTGTATTGAAATACAATTATCAAATTTTTTAAATGTGCCTACAAAATTCTGATGAAAGAAACCAAAAAAGATCTAAATAAATGGAGGGGGATTCCATGTCTGTGGACAGGGAAACCCAGTATTGTTGATGTTATGGGAGTGGGTGTTTAGCTTAGCAATTAAAATACTTGCTTCCACATTGGAGTACCTGGGTAGATACCTGGCCAGCTCCTGATTCCAGCTTCCTTCCAATGCAGACCATGGGAGGCAGCAGTAATGGCTCAAGTGATTGGGTTCCTTCTGTTCAGTGGGAGACATGGATTGAGTTCTTGGCTCTGTCTCTGGCCTTTGTCCAGCCCTTGCCGTTGTGGGTATCTGAGAGTGAGCCAGCAGATAGGAGCTCTCTGGCTTCGTGTCTCTGTCTTTCTGCATGTATCTCTCTAGCTTTCATATTAAAAAAAAATTCTAAAAAAGATGTCAGGAGTGGGAGTTGTGGTGCAGAGAGTTAATGTAGTATCTGTTACACCTACATTCCATATCAGAGTGCAGGTTTGAGTCTCAGCTACTCCACTTCCAATTTGGCTTCCTTTAAAATGCCTGGGAAAGCAGTAGCTGATGGCTCAAGTATTTGGGCTCCCGCCAGCCACAAGGAAGACCCAGACTGGCTCAGGGCTTTGGCCTGGCCGCAGTCCTAGTAGTTGTGTGCATTTGCAGAGTGAATCACGAGATGGAAAATCACTCTTTCTGTCTCTCCTCCTCTGACTGTCACTGTACATCTCAAATAAATAGGTAAATAAAAAATCTTTAAAAGAAAAAAGATGTCAGTTCTTCCCTACCTGATTTGTAATTCAATACATTTCCAATCAAAACCTTAGCAAATTATTCTATGAATATCAACAGATTTATTTTAAGATTTTCATGCAGATGCAGAAAGACCAAGAATAGCCAGCACAATACTCAAGAAAAACAAAGCTGGAGTACTGACATGGACTTCAACCCTGAGTGTAAAGCTACAGTAATCAGGGTTGGTGCTGTGCAGTGTCAGCATCCCATGTGGGCACTGGTTCGAGTCCTAGATGCTCCACTTCTGATCTAGCTCTCTGTTATGACCTGGGAAAGCAGAAGATGGCCCAAGTCCTTGGGTCCCTGCACCTGCTGGAAGAAGAAGCTCCCGGCTCCTGGCTTAAGATGGGCCCAGCTCCAGCTGTTGCGGCCATTTAGGGAGTGAACCAGCAGATGGAAGACCTCTCTCTCTCTTCTTCTTCCTCCCGCCGCCTCTGCCTCTCTCTGTAACTCTGCCTTTCAAATAAATAAATAAATCTTTAAAAAATATTTATAAGGCCGGCGCCGCGGCTCACTAGGCTAATCCTCCGCCTAGCGGCGCCGGCACACCGGGTTCTAGTCCCGGTCGGGGCGCCGGATTCTGTCCCGGTTGCCCCTCTTCCAGGCCAGCCCTCTGCTGTTGCCAGGGAGTGCAGTGGAGGATGGCCCAGGTGCTTGGGCCCTGCACCCCATGGGAGACCAGGAAAAGCACCTGGCTCCTGGCTCCTGGCTCCTGCCATCGGATCAGCGCGGTGCGCCGGCCGCAGCGCGCCGACCGCGGCGGCCACTGGAGGGTGAACCAATGGCAAAGGAAGACCTTTCTCTCTCTCTGTCTCTCTCTCTCACTGTCCACTCTGCCTGTCAAAAAAAAAATATTTATAAAAAAGCTACACTAATCAAAAAAAGTATAGTACTGATGAAAGAATAGACAAATAAATCAATGGAATGGAAGAGTAAGCCTAAGAAATAAAACCACACAAATAAAGCCAACAGATTTTTGAGAAAGGAGCTAAGCAGTGTGGAAAGGATAGTCTTTTCAAAAATGATACTGGAAAAATTGGATGTCTACATACAAAAAATAAATCTAGACAAAGACCTTACACCTTTCACAAAAATTAACTCAAAACAGATTACAGAGTTGAATATAAAACACAAAATTATACATTTCCTAGGAGATGACATAGGAGAAAATCTTTGTGATTTTAGCTCAGTTGCTGAGTTTTTAGATATAACACCAAAAAGTACAATCCAAGAAGGGAAAAACTGACTTGGATTTGGTTACAATTAAAAACTTGTGCTTTATAGAAAACTTTGTTAGGAGAGAATGAAAAGACGAGCCACAGACTTGGAGATAATATTTGTAAAACACATATCTGATAAAGGAATGGTATCTAAAATATACAAAAAGCTCTTAAAACTCAAGAATAATAAAAAAACTAAAAAATGGACAAGATCTAAATGGATACCTCATCCAAGAAGATACACAGATGGCAAATAAGCATATGAAAACATGCTCAACGTCTTATGACATTATGGAACTGCAAATTCAAACAACAAAGAGATACTACTACACACTTACTAGAATGGCTAAAATCCAAAAACACTGACAACACCAAATGCTGGCAAGCATGTGGAGCAATAAGAATTCTCATTATTTGTTGGTGGGAATGCAAAATGGTGTATCCACTTTGGAAAATGTTTGGCAGGGGCCTGTGGTGTGGCACAGCGGGTTAAGCTGCAGCTGGTAACACTGGCATCTCATATCAGACCACTAGTTCAAGCTCAGCGGCTTTCTTCCAATCTAGTCCCCTGCTAATGTGCCAGAGAAGGCAGTGGATGATGGCTCATGTGCTTGGGTCCCTGTCATCCACATGGGAGACCCAGATGGAGTTTTGGGCTCCTGGCTTTGGCCTGGCCTGGCCCCAGCCCTTGCAGTTATTTGGGGAGAGAACCAGCAGGTAAAAGATTCTCTCTCTCTCTCTCTCTCTCTCTCTCTCTCTTTCTCTCTCCCTGTAATTCTGCCTTTCAAATAAATAAATAAATCTTAAAAAAACCCAAGATCAGCCTTTTCACCAAGATGGCACCGAAGGCGAAGAAGGGAGCTCCTGCCCCTCCTAAAGTCGAAGCCAAAGCGAAGGCCTTGAAGGCCAAGAAGGCAGTGCTGAAAGGCGTCCACAGCCACAAGAAGAAGAAGCTCCGCACGTCCCCACCTTCCGGTGGCCCAAGACACTACGCCTCCGACGGCAGCCCAAATACCCTCGGAAGAGCGCCCCCAGGAGAAACAAGCTTGACCACTATGCCATCATCAAGTTCCCCCTGACCACGGAGTCGGCCATGAAGAAGATAGAAGACAACAACACACTGGTGTTCATTGTGGATGTCAAGGCCAACAAGCACCAGATCAAACCAGCTGTGAAGAAACTCTATGACATTGATGTGGCCAAAGTCAACACCCTGATCAGCCCTGACGGAGAGAAGAAGGCGTGTGTGCGGCTGGCTCCTGGCTATGATGCTCTGGATGTTGCCAACAAAATTGGGATCATCTGAACGGAGTCCAGCTGGCTAATTCTAAATAGATGTTTTTTCACCATTAAAAAAAACAAGATCAGTATGTTGTAATAGAATGCAAATCTAATACCTCCCTTGCTGTCACAATGTCTGTATACAGTGAAATAGTAATATTTGGTTCTAATATGTTAGCCTATACCATTCAGTTTACACATATCATCATTTAATCCATACAAGAATCCAATTGAGATAGATCCTATTGTCCTGAATTTCAGTTAAAAATTGTGTAATATATTTAATATTATAGTAAATAACAAGTGGTATATCTATTAAAAAACAAGTGACATACATAATAAATGCCATACTTTTAAAGCAGTGTTGAGTGTGAATAATAATTTGAGAAATATACTATAAGGACCATGACATGAAAATATCGGTGATGTCTACTGGTGGCGAATCATAGCTACCATCAACACTACTATGGCTTCTGCCTCTACTTCATTAGAAGGAAATGAGACTTTTCAAACAGACATTAGTGCAATAATAAATTTTTCTACCCATGTTCACAGACTTCCTGAATTCTACTCAAGGACACCTTGGGTGTCATCTACTCTCTAGGATAAGACTCCTAGCCCATATGGGAGTGCCTGTGTTCTAATCAAGCTTCATGTGTGCCATGGGAGGCATGGATTGAGTTCCTGGGTTCTGGCTTTAGATAGGCCCAGCTCTGGCTGTTGCAGGCACCTGGGGAGTGAACCAGAGGATGGAAGATCTCTGTGTCTTTTAGAAACACACAAGCGAAAAACACACTGCTAAAACTAAAAACAAAACCCTAGCACAGGTTACTGAAAGTGCTGTCACATTTTGCAAGCCTTTTTAAAGATATGTTTGTTTATTTGAAAGGCAGAGTTACAGAGAGAGGGGCAGAGACAGAGATCTTCAGTTTGCTAATTCAGTTCCCAAATGGCTGCAACAGCCAGGGCTGGGCCAGGTGGAAGTCAGGAGCTAGGCACTCCATCCAGGTCTCTTACACGGGTCGCGGGGGCCCAACCATTTGGGCCATCTTCCTCTGCTTTCCCAGTCGCATTAGCAGGGAGCTGGGTGGGACGTGGAGCAGCCAGCACTGGAACCTGCGTTCCTAAGGGATGCCGGCATTGCAGGTGGCGACTTACCCTGTAGAGCCCAACAGTGGTCCCTGCAAATCTGTATGTAGTCCCAGGGAAACAAAAGAGACAGCCCAGGCCCCAGAGTTAGTCTCAATGGATTCCGAAAGCCTCCCCACAAGCTTTTGCAAAGAAGTCAGAAGCATGTGAGGGGACCGGGCAGGAGCTGCATACTGTGCTCAGCCTCTGCACACCTCCAGGACCCCAAAAAGTACCGAAGAGCTGTCTCCTTAAAGTCTTCTCCATTATCCCTTAAGCCTTAAGGCCCCCAAATCGAGGAGCATCCTGTTGAAACAGAGTGGCGAAAGAATACAGGTGGGCGAGCGGGCAAAGCCCCGCTCCAGGCCTGCTTACTCCACGGTCCCCGCCCCTTGCAGGCTACAGAGAAAGTACTCCAGACACGAGAAATCATTTCACTCGCAGGGTATTCTAACTGATCAAGATGCGGCTACCGTGCTACCGAAAAGGAGGCAATCAGCAGGTTCAGGAAGAAGTACAGGAGACAGATCACGCAAGACAAGACGGGAAATTTCCCCCCTTCCTTTTTAGGAAACGCGGCTCGCCCACTGAACCGGTCTGCTTCTCCCGCTGCCATTTACGGCAGGTGCCTCGCCGTTGCCTGGCGATCCCTTTTGGGATGCTGCAGCGACACCGACACAAAGATCCCGGTCAGCTCTTATTCGTGCAGGTCTGGACCTTCGGATGCCGCGGCCCTCGGGACGCAGTGGGCAGCTCGGGAAGGAAGGGCGGAGGCGCCTTTACCTGGCGGTGAGGGGCCCGCGGGGGCCCCTGTTGCCCTCCGGGTGCGAGGACAGCTCGGTCACGCTCGCGGGAAGGACCGGCGAGGACAGCAGCCGACGCTCCGCAGCTCCCGCACCGGCCCGGCGGGTTTTGTGGTTAGCAAGTTCCTGCTTCCGTTGCAGCGACAGAAAGTTTGCCGCGGGGGAAGGGCACATTCCTGCCCTGCAACCCGGAGCTGTTTCCCAGCGACATCCAGCGAGATCCCCTTGGCACTGGCGGGGATCGCGAGCCCCTCCCCGTGCAGGTCTGGGGCATCCCGGCGCCAGCGCTGAGCCCCCGAGGGAGCCTGCGATCCCAGCGCCCTCACCCTACGCATCGACTCCGGGGACCCCAGCGACCCTGCTGGCAGCCAGAGTGTCAGCAACTGTACCTTCTCGCAAGTGGGGGAAAAAAATCCAAGAGGGCAGAAATGGATAAGGGACAGTAGAAAGTGTACCTCTAAGCCGCATGCCCTAGGCAGAAGCTTCTTCGTGCCGGAAGGTTTCCACTGGATTCTATCTGGGACAGTTGTGATAACCCTACTTCCATAACTGGCAGTTCTTGAGTTAAATGTCAGGTGCAAAGCAAGCTTTAAGGAAGGCATTTGATTTTTTGCAGGAATTCTTCTTTATAGGTACAAATAAAAATGATGAAAGCAAAGGCGTCTGTTAAGAGTTATTTAAATTATATAGGTCTAGGCCGGCGCCGCGGCTCACTAGGCTAATCCTCCGCCTTGCGGCGCCGGCACACCGGGTTCTAGTCCCGGTCGGGGCGCCGGATTCTGTCCCGGTTGCCCCTCTTCCAGGCCAGCCCTCTGCTGTGGCCCGGGAGTGCAGTGGAGGATGGCCCAGGTGCTTGGGCCCTGCACCCCATGGGAGACCAGGAAAAGTACCTGGCTCCTGGCTCCTGCCATCGGATCAGCGCGGTGCGCCGGCCGCATCGCGCTGGCCGCGGCGGCCATTGGAGGGTGAACCAACGGCAAAAGGAAGACCTTTCTCTCTGTCTCTCTCTCTCTCACTGTCCACTCTGCCTGTCAAAAAAAAAAAAAAAAGAAGAAAATTATATAGGTCTAGCGCTGTGGCGTGGTGAGTGAGGCTGCTGCCTGTATGCCAGCATCCCAAGTGGGGGTGGGTTCAAGTCCCAGCTGCTCCACTTTCGATCCAGCTCTCTGCTATGGCCTGGGAAAGCAGTGGAAGATGGATGAGGCCTTGGAGGAAGCTCCTGGCTCCTGGCTTCAGATCGGCCCAGCTCTGGCCGTTGTGGCCATCTGGGGAGTGAACCAGCAGATGGAAGACCTCTCTCTCTGTGCCTCTGCGTCTCTGTAATTCTGACTTTCAAATAAATAAATAAATAAGTATTTTAAAAAGTTATTAAAATTATATCTGCAACACATAGTATAGTGCCTGGTACTTAAAAGCTGTTCTGTAAATATTTAACTACAATCTATTGTTGACTGAATGAATGGAAAAGAACTACATAGGGCATAGGTTGTAGAATTGTGTTTCTAAATCACTGCCTGTCTCACTCCCACTTCCACGTACACATAAACACACAACATTACCAAACCATTGACAGTTTGCCACTTGGGTTGGTGTGAAAGAGCACTAAGCAATTAAGGATTTACTACTCTGGTGCTGAACAGTCAACGGCTACACCCTAGTTTTAACTAACTAACGGCACAGGAGGTATATGTTGACAAAGAATGCTCCCAAACAATGGTCCATTGTGTAAAACTAACTCTACCAGCTGTGCCCAAAGGGTGACCTACTTTTGAATGACAATCACAGCGCCAAAACTTGGTTTCAAAAGAATCCCCAAGGAGTGATTTCCCACCGGAGGGATTTTCCTGATATAACAAGGGCCGGATGTGGGATGTGACTGTTCTAACTCTGTCAATTACAAGGCCAAACTTCAAGGTGTAGAGTGGTCACACGTTTTGTCCTTGGCAGTCATTAGACAGATCCTTCCACCAGGAGACCTTCAGATTCCGTGTTGTGATATAATGAACCACCACTGAAGTGATCTATTTCTTTTTCAAAATGTCAGAGGAAAGGTGGGTATTTGCACAGCGGTTACCTTGCCACTCAGGATGTGTGTCTTCCTTGGAGTCTTAGCGCCACTCCCAATGGCAGCTCTCTGTGATGCCCACCCTGGGAGATAAGAGGTGATGATGGCTCAACTAGCTGAGTCCCTGCACCCATGTAGGAGACCTAGACTGAGTTCCCACTTCCTGGCTTTGGTCTGACCCAGTCCTGGCTATCGTGAGCATTTGGGAGGTAAGAAAGTGGAGGGCAGGGGAGATCTTTCTTTCTTTCTTTCTTTCTTTCTTTCTTTCTTTCTTTCTTTCTTTCTTTCTTTCTTTCTTCCTTCCTTCCTTCCTTCCTTCCTTCCTTCCTTCCTTCCTTCCTTCCTTCCTTCCTTTTTTGACAGGCAGAGTTAGACAGTGAGAGAGACAGAGAGAAAGGTCTTCCTTTTGTTGGTTCACCCCCCAAGTGGCCAGGTGAAAAATACTGTTTGAGTACTAGTTATAGCATTAAATCACAATGTACAGCACATTAAGGACAGAGATCCTACATGAGGAGTAAGTGCACAGTGACTCCTGTTGTTGACTATTTAATTTTTTAAAAGATGCATTTATTTATTTGATAGAGTTACAGAGAGATAGGGAGGGATAGAGAGTGAGCGAGTGAGTGAGTGAGATCTTCCATCCACTGATTCACTCCCCAAATGGCTGCAATGACCAGCTGGAGCTGGGCCAGATGGAAGCCAGGAGCCATGAGCTTCATCCGGTCTCCCATGTGTGTGGCAAGGGCTCACTGCTTTCCCAGGAGCATTAGCAGGGAGCTGGACTGGAAGTGGAGCTGCCAGGACTCAAACCAGAGCCCCTGTAGGATGCTGGCATTGCTACCTTGCTGTGCCACAACGCTGGCCCCTATTTAATTTTTAGATATTGTATATACAATAAGTGACATGAGTTTGCTGTTCATACAGAGTGATTTTGGGAGTGTCAAAGTCATCAATCCTAAATGTTTCCCACCTCTAAATCCCCTCCAGTGGAATCTCTATGTTAGGAATGCTCATTTAATTATCTTGCCATCACACTCAGCTTCCTAAGGCTAGAGGCTGGGTCTTAATGGATTTTCTAGGTTTGGTCTCTAGCAAGTGCCTGGCATGTGACAGACTCCCAGTAAATGTCGAGTCAATGAATGAGGGCATCTTATCCCCAGATAACTCTTATTAATGCAGGTTTATGGAGATATAATTCACATATCATACAAATCACCCACTTAAAATGTACCCTTCAGTAGTTTTTTTTTTTTAAGATTTATTTATTTATTTGAAAGTCAGAGTTACACAGAGAGAGGAGAGGCAGAGAGAGAGAGAGAGAGAGAGGTCTTCCATCCGATGGTTCACTCCCCAGATGGCCGCAACGGGAAGCCAGGAGCCAGGAGCTTCTTCCCGGTCTTCCATATGGGTGCAGGGGTCCAAGGACTTGAGCCATCCTCCACTGCTTTCCCAGGCCATAGCAGAGAGCTGGACAGGAAGTGGAACAGCCGGGTCTCGAACCCGCACCCATATGAGATGCTGGGGATGCTGGCACTTCAGGCCAAGGCGTTAACCCACTGCGCCACAGCCCCGGACCCCGGCCCTTGCCCTTCAGTAATTTTAAAACACATTCAGGGTCGGCGCCATGGCTCACTAGGCTAATCCTCCGCCTGCAGCACTGGTACCCCGGGTTCTAGTCCCTGTTGGGGCACCGGATTCTGTCCCGGTTGCTCCTCTTCCAGTCCAGCTCTCTGCTGTGGCCCGGGAGTGCAGTGGAGGATGGCCCAAGTACTTGGGCCCTGCACCCCATGGGAGACCAGGAAGAAGCACCTGGTTCCTGGCTTTGGATCGGTGCAGCGCGCTGTCTGTGGCGGCCCCTTGTGGGGGTGAACCAATGGAAAAGAAGCTGGATTGGAAGTGGAGCAGGAACCCAAACCTAGGCACTCCAAGATGGAACATCCCAAGTGGTGGCTTAACTGCTGTGCCAGACGCCCACCTTCCTCTTGTTCTTTTGGCTGAGTAGTATTCCCTTACATGGATATACCACAACGTATTTATCCATTCATTAGTCGGTGGGGTAGAATGTCCCTTTTAGAACAAAATGTTCATCCAAAGGAGGCATAAAACTCAAGAGGATGGAAGACAAGACAATACGCAAGACATCCTTCAGTCTCCTGGGGGGCTGGTCCTAGGACCCCCGAGGACACCAGGGCTGTGCATGCTCAGGCCTTCTATATACAATGCTATGCACAAATGTGCACCCCACAGATATTGAGAGCAGACTACTTTGATGTGGAAGAGGAGGATCAAGATCCATCCCTCCCTCATAGCTCTATCTTCATAGCCCCACAAGATACCAAACTTACTCCTGTTTGCTGTATAGTAAGGGTGAAGAAAGGCAGGGCGGGGGGCGGGGCATGCGGTGTTGTTGCACAGCAGGTTAGGCTGCCGCTGCCATCCCATATGGCTGATGGTCCGAGACCTAACTGTTCCACTTCCTATCCAGTTCCCTGCTAATGTACCTGGGAAAACAGGCCAAGACGGCTGAGGTTCTTGGGCCCCTGTGCCCATGTGGGAGACCTGGGCGAAGCTGCAGGCTCCTGGCTTCAGCCTGCCCCGCCCTGCTTTAGCTGTTGCTGCTATTTGGAGAGTGAGCCAGTGGATGGAAGATCCTCCTACCTCTCCCTCTATCTTTGTAACTTTGACCTTCAAATAAACAATAAAGTGAAGAAGAAAGGAGCAGATAGGGCCAGCACTGTGGCACAGTAGGTTAAAGCCCCTGCCTGCAGTGCCGGCATCCCATATGCACGCCAATTCAAGCCCTGGCTGCTCCATTTCCAATCCAACTCTCTGCTGTGGCCAGGGGAAAGCAGTAGAAGATGGCCCAAGTCCTTGGGTCCCTGCACCCACGTGGGAGACCCAGAAGAAGCCCCTGGCTCCTGGCTTTGGATCATCTCAGCTCTGACCGTTGCGGTCATCTGGGGAGTGAACCAGTGGATGAAGACCTCTCTCTCTCTCTGTCTCTACCTCTCTGAAACTCTTTCAGATAAACAAAATAAATCTTTTTTTTTTTTTTTTTTTTTTTTTTTGACAGGCAGAGTTAGTGAGAGAGAGAGACAGAGAGAAAGGTTTTCCTTTTTCCCGTTGGTTCACCCCTCAAATGGCCGCCAGGTGCTTCTTCCTGGTCTCCCATGCAGGTGCAGGGCCCAAGCACTTGGGCCATCCTCTACTGTCTTCCCGGGCCACAGCAGAGAGCTGGACTGGAAGAGGAGCTACTGGGACAGAACTGGCGCCCCAACTGGGACTAGAACCCGGGGTGCCGGCGCCGCAGGCAGAGGATTAGCCTAGTGAGCTGCAGCGCTGGCCTAAAATAAATCTTTAAAAAATAAAAAAGGAGAAGGAGGAGGAAGATGAGGTGGAGAAGAGGAAGAGGAGGAAAAAAAAAAAGGGTACCAATTTTGTTCTGCCTGGATTCCAGCTTCCTGCTAAGGCAGACTCCAGGAGGTGACAGGTGACAATAGCTCAGATGCATGGGTCTCTGCCACACGTGTCAGATACCTAGCTTCCAGCTTCTGCCAGGCCCAGTCCTGGCTCTACTGGTCATTCGGGGAGTGAAACAGTGAATGGAAAAATCTCTTTGTTTCTCTTTCAAATAAATGAATGAATAAATAAATTTTTTAGCTTTTATTTAATAAATACAAATTTCATAGATCCAGCTTTAGGAATATAGCAGTTCTTCCCCCCATACCTGTCCTCCCACCCCCATTCCCATCCCACCTTCTACTCCCTCCCCCATCCCATTCTTCATTAAGATTCATTTTTAATTATCTTTATATACAGAAGACTAACTCTATACTAAGTAAATATTTCAACAGTTCGCACCCAGACACACAAAGTATAAAGTACTGTTTGAGGACAAGTTGTATCATTAATTCTCATAGCACAGCACATTAAGGACAGAGGTCTTACATGGGGAGTAAGTGCATAGTGACTCCTGTTGTTGATTTAACAATTGACACTCTTATGAATAAATACAATTTTAAAAGGAGCTTTGCATTCAGACAGTTGTGGATTCAAATCCTAGATCCGGCACCTTTTTCCATTTGGGAAACAGTTTAAAATATCTGTTTTGTTAAGTTGCTTTCATAAGTGGGTATTAAAATTAATGCCGCCTGGGAGTGGTATTTAAAGGCGAAGCACCTGTTCAACAGGAAACGGCTTATCCTTGGGGTAGCTCTGGCTTTGAGGCAGCGGGCCCTTTAAATCCGCGTCTCCCTAGCTGCCGTCGCGGGTCTCCCCGCCCCGCCCCCGGGCCAGGGGTAGGTGGGGTCTCTTAACCCGGAACTGACTGCCGCGCGTCGCCGGCGCCGCCCACCCGCGTCCCGGAAGCAGCGAGCTGCGGCGCCAGAGTCAGTGAGTGAAAGCGGCTCCTCCCGCCGGCTGCAGGCGCCGCAAAGCCGGCGTCCCTGGCCCGCTCTGTCAGAGCTCTCCTGGAGAAGGAGGGCGAGCAGCTGGCGTCAGCGCCGTTTCTCTTTGCGTGTTTGTTCCCCAGAGAGGGCCTCCCTGTCCCCCGCCGCTCGGGCCCACGCGTAGGCTGGGTGCCTCCGCTACACCTGGACGCTGTCACCTCCTGTCCAGGTCCCCGGTTCCTAACCAGTGGCCCCGCCGCGGAGCGGTGAGCGCCCGGCCCGCCGTTCTTCCGCTGCCGGCTCCATGGGTAGCGAGCAGAGTTCCGAGGCCGAGAGCCGACCCAACGATCTGAACTCCTCAGGTCGGTGCCCTACCCTCCCACCCTCCCACTGCGTGTGACCGGAGCGCACTGGGCTGCCTCCCAGCCCAGTGGGTCTGAGACCGCGGACCGCAACGCTTGGGAAAACCCTCACCATGCCTCCTAAAAAAAAAAAAAAAAAAATTGACCATCTGTCCTGTCTGACCTAGCCTTGATTCCCCCAGACCGGCGTGGGCGCCTTGCCCACTATTTATTCCCCAAACAGCCGTTTGTCCCAGCTGCAGGCTACTCTTTAACAGACGCCCTAATTAATTTTTGGCGCTCGTGCTCATGACTGAAGTACTGAGATTGGGCTGAGACAGAGGCCAGATCGTAGACAGGAACGGCGAGAACAGGCTCCGTCTTAAAAACGGGCCTGGGAAGTTCGTCTTGAGAAGGAATGTGTGATAGCTGCACCATGTCTGCATTTCTTTTAATTGTTGTTTTTGTTTTTTGACAGGCAGAGTGGACAGTGAGAGAGAGAGACAGAGAGAAAGGTCTTCCTTTGCCGTTGGTTCACCCTCCAATGGCTGCCGCGGCTGATCCAATGGCAGGAGCCAGGTGCTTCTCCTGGTCTCCCATGGGGTGCAGGGCCCAAGCACCTGGGCCATCCTCCACTGCACTCCCTGGCCACAGCAGAGAGCTGGCCTGGACTAGAACCCGGTGTGCTGGCGCCGCAAGGTGGAGGATTAGCCTACTGAGCCACGGCGCCGGCCTCATGTCTGCATTTCTGCAAATGCCTGCAGAAACGGCTTTTTGCCCTCCGAAGGTGGCACGGTCCTTTTTCTGATGTCATAGACATTTGGCCAGACAGCAGGCGATGGTGTTGTCCTTTTTTTTTTTTTTTTTAAATTTTTTCCTTCGCTTTTGAAGTGGGAATGGAAGGATTATTGTGCTGGGAATATAGTGAGTGCTCAATACATACAGCAGTTGGTGTTTAATTCCTCCTGGTTTTGTTACCTGGGACCCTAGGACAGCTGCGAGTCCTTGTTGAATAAACTAGATCCACGCTTCTTAATCTGAATTGGTTAAATCTGGGGCCCAAGAAGAGCCCGTGGTTTTAGAGTTGCTCTGCCATTCTGAAAAGCGGAAGCCAGCAGATCTAGGGTGCTTTGCTAGTTCTACCCTGCCTTCTGGGGTTACACTGGAACAATTTTTATGGTGAACATCATCCACTAGCTTTGCTGTTTGTTTAGGAGGCCGGGAATGTCCTATCTGTTACAACAGTTAGCATAATAATGGCCCCCTCTGATTTTCTTGCCTCTGTTAGAGTTTGGGAGGAGGCTTGTAGCCTCTTCTTAAAAGTTTGCTTGCCCAGGAACCAACAGCTAGGCTGATTGCTGAACTAAGAGTGTGCCTGTTCCCTGCATTACATACATTTGCGTTGGAAGTTTACATGAACTGCATCTTACAGAAAAGGTGATAGAGGCTGGCTAGGATGTTATGAAGTCCCTTTCTGGATTCTGGAGAAGGAGGAATCATGCTTGATTTTTGCAGGAAAGATTTCAGGCGTTACTTTTGTAAGAGTCAGGTAAATGGTCAAAGTAAGTGTTTCTTAAAAAGCAGTAACAGTAACAAAGATTTTTCTGAAAGAGTGAATGGCAAACCTTGAAGACTCCGGCTTCCAGAAGGCAGAGCCGTTCTGTAGCAACCAGTGGAAACACTTTGAAAAGATTCAGCCAGGAAGATCCTTAGGGAGAGGATATTTTAATCTAGGGAGCCCTTCATAGTTTGAACCACTTTCCTCCAAATGGATTAGGTTCTCAGGGAACTCAAAACTGACCTGCCTCTCTAGGGGTCCTTCAAATGTCTGGATTTTGGGTCTGCTTTGAATGGACCTTTTGATTATTTCTGCCCATCTTGGATGAATGCCGTAACTTCAGGGTGAGGGGACTAAATGCAGTGGACATGCTGTCCCGTGTGAGACCATGAGTTTTCTCTTAACCAGGAACTGTTAAACATATCTGAGCTGCTGAGATAGGTATAGTGACAGCTTTGCTGTCCCGTTGTCACAGGGACTGTGTTCATGGACCACACATCAAACTCTCGTTCCTTTCCTGACCCTAACACTTTTGACTTTGGACATTCCGTAGCCAGATTTTGTACCCTCATTCCCTCTTTTGTAAAATGAGGGTATTTGTCAGGATCAGGAGAGTCAAAGAAGGACAAATTAAAAACATAATGTACCTGTGCTTTTGTGTGCTGAAAAGTAAAGTTCATTTACTTGTGTATTAAACCTTCCTTAATGTTTGAGGGTCTTTTCTTTTATTATGTTTTTTGGGGGCAGAGTTAGAGTTATAGACAGAGAGAGAGAAAGGTCTTCCTTCTGTTGGTTCACTCCCCTAATGGCTGCTACAGCCGGCGCTGCACCAATCTGAAGCCAGGAGCTGGGTACTTCCTCCCAGTCTCCCATGCGGGTGCAGGGCCCAAATACTGGGGCCATCCTCCGCTGCCCTCCTGGGCCACAGCAGAGAGCTGGACTGGAAGAGGAGCAACCAGGACTAGTACCCGGCGCCCCAACTGGGACTAGAACCCCGGGGTGCCAGCGCCGCAGGTGGAGGATTAGCCAAGTGAGCCACGGTGCTGGCCTGTTTGAGTTTTTTAATACCATAGCAAATAGAAGTTTCCCCATAATTCATCACCCCCCCCCACCACGGCCCCCACTGAAGCATCGCTGTATTGTGTAAAAGTATTTCATTTGAGTGGCTGCACTGAGAATGGCTTGGTGAGGTAGAGGTGGCTAGCTAACATGGCGCTCCTGAGCAGTGTTCCTTTATTTTCAGTGACTCCTTCTCCGGCTAAGCATAGAGCCAAGATGGACGATATTGTGGTTGTAGCTCAGGGCTCTCAGGCCTCGAGGAACGTCAGCAACGACCCTGATGTCATCAAGTTGCAAGAGATTCCAACCTTCCAGCCCCTTTTGAAAGGTAAGGGGTTGCTTCTTGGCTTACCTGAAGTTGCTAGAAAGGTGTCCTTATCCCCATCACTCTCTCCCACCCCTCTGTGTGCCTTACGTTCTCCTCTCCTTCAGGTCTTTGCTTTAATGGCATCTTCTCCATGAAGCCTTCCTTGATTGCCCTATTTAAACTTGCAGCCCCTTTCCCATGGCAAGTTTGTTTCCTGTTTTTTTTCTGCTAGGTGAGCTGCACAGTAGCAGGAATTTTGTTTTGTTCCCCGTTGAATCCCCAGCTCTAGAAATGGACTAGTGGCTGAGTAAATGAATGTCATTGGAGTTGGTCCTTCCCTGTTGCCTTCCCATGAAAACATTTCACTCTTACTTGTGATGTGGATTATGGATTGACTAGTTCAGATTCATAGAGGAAAAATCTCCTTTACCACTGATACACTTGTAATTAACCCCGGCAGCTGTTTAGTTTGAGAGGCGAGATCAGCTGCTTGATTAGCACATATTGAGGTAGTTACCTTTAATAACTTCATTTTCATGTTTGTGAAGTGGTGGAGATAATTTTCTCTTAACTGAATGGTGTTTCTGCTTAAGAGGCCCTCCGTCCCCTCCCCTCCCCATGCTCACATCCAAGTGAGAAAATAACATAAGGCTCTGGTTTACTTAACCTGTGTCTTAGTTTGTTGTCTGTTGCTATAACTGAATACTACGGGCTGGGTAATTTATGAAGAAAAGACATTTGTTGAGCTTATGGTCCTGGAAGTCCAAGAGCATGGCACTGGCATCTGCTTGCCATCTGGTGAGGTCCTCCCCGCTGGGTCATGACACACTGGCGGGTGTGGGGGGAGCGGGGGAGGTCGCTTGGCGAGACAGAGCTTGCTAAGTTGGATTTGTCTTCTCCCTCTAATAAAACCACTAATGCAATCCTTGGCTCCACCTGCATGATCTCATCTCATCTAATTTACCTCCCAAAGCCCTCACCACCATACCCATTAGGTATGTGACTGAGGTTTAAGTTTCAACATGATTTTTGGAGGGGACAAACACCTAGAGCATAGCAGTGTGGTGTAATATAATATAAAACACCTTACACTTACATTGCCTTTTATTACACACACATCATTCCTTTCTGACATCATTAAATGTGTTTGATTTTTCTAAGATCAGATAGCTAGCAGGTAGACGGAACTTGAACTTTCTTCACCCATGTCATGTAACTATGCTAGTTACACTGTTCCTCACTGTACTTAAAAACTATTGGTGCTTTATAAGTGATGCTTGTATAATCTTATTATTCTTCCTACTGCTTCTTCCACTTTACATAGGAGGAAATGCAGGCTTTCAGTCTCTTCCCTGCAGGGCTCAGGGTTGGGTTTTTGGTAAACACCCTGGCTCATTCATAAAACACCATAGTATGGCTTTTTACCCATTGTAGTAGTGTTCATTAGTCTGAGGAATAACGTGATTGTCCAAAGAAGCCAACGTTAATGAAATTTCTGCTTCCATGTATCTTTGTGCAATCAGATTAGAAGTAGTCTGTAGCTTTAGAAACTTAAAGCAGAACATTTGTATTCTCTATTCTGTGCCATCTGGAGCTGCCCACAGTCAGAATTTTCATGCTCTCCTTCCTGTAATCTGCATTCTAGTGTTAGGTGGGCTAGGTATGACCAATTCTTTTCTCTAGGAAAAATCTAAAACCAAAACAGTTTTGAGGAATATTTAATATTTTTTTTGAAGATTTTGCTTTATTTGAAAGAGCGATGGAATTAGAGCAGATTGATCTTCTGTCTGCCAGTTCACTCTCCAAATGGCCACCACAGCCAGTGATGGGTCAGGCCAAAGCCAGGAGCCTGTAACTCCATCCTAGTCTCCCACAATGGTGGCAGCGGCCCAAGTACTTGGACCATCTTCTGTTACTTTCCCAGATACATTATCAGGGAGCTGGATCAGAAATGGAGCAGCCAGGACTCAAACCTGTACTCTGACATGGGATGCCAGCAATTGGTGGCTTAACTGGCTATGCCACAGCACTGACCCCTGGGATTAGTTTTTTTATCATTTGAAATAATTCATGTTTTATGATAACAAACTGACTAGTAGGAGAAGACTTGGAGTTAATGAAAGCTAATCTCAGATTTAAAATCATCACCAGGAACCCTAAAAGTGAGTAATGACTATGATGCTGTCGTTGTGGTGCCATGCTAAGTTGCATTGGCACTATAGGGTGGGTTTTTGTGTGTACTTCATTTTTTAAAATTTTTTTTAAAGATTCATTTATTTGAAAGGCACAATGACAAGAGAGAGGGAGAGACATCTTCTGGTTCACTCCCCAAATGGCTGCCACAGTTGAGTATGGGCCAGGGTGGAGCCAGGAGCCAGGAGCCAGCAACTCCATCCGGCAGGTTGGATTGGAAGTGGAGCAGCCAGCATGCACTTCAATTTGGTATGCTGGCATTATAGGCAGTGGTTTAACCCACTGTGCCATAATGCTGGCCCCTGTATACTTAAGTTTTAACTGGGAATATGCCACTAGCAAGCTATGTTGCCCTGGCTTTGTTTTTCCACCTCTTTGGTTATTAACATTGAGGATGGGTGTAGATGGGAGGAAAGCTGATAAGAGACTGTCTGGGGCTTAGCCAGGGAAGATAGAAAAATTGTTTGAGAGTGGCATGGATTTAGAAATGGTAACACATGGCTGTGGCCAGACTATAAGGGACCAAACAAACAAACAAAAAAGCCAAACAGCATTTGAGGTGATGTTCTTGTTTCACTTGTAAAGAGGGAACAACTTGGACAGTGGCTGGAAAAGATGAGCAAATGGGAAAATAGGGTGGAAACAGTGCATATGATTATGATACTAATAATGAGCTAATCCCGCAAGTACCTCCGAATGGTAGCTTTAGGAGAGGTTAAAGTCACATGGCTGTAATGATAGTCCATCTTAAGATGGTATCTAGTTTTAACCATTTTGTACATGGCCTGAGACTATTTCCCATTCTAGCAAAGCCCATTAGAAAAATCACGAGGCCACAATAGTGTGGTGGATAGAGGCTGGTTGGGTTTTTAGGTGCGGCATTTGTTGCCTAGCCTCCTGCTTTGACCAGCTCTGCCTGGTAATTTAGATCCCTGCCCTCTGGCTGCCGTGCTGCTGCAAGGGCCACTCATCACTGTCGTCTTTATACTCTGATCTTTTTTCCTCCCTTTCTTGTTTTCAGGATGAGGTAGTAAAAAGCCACACACTGAGGGCTGTACCCCCCAGGTTTGATTTCAGAAAGCTTTTATTCAAGTTAATGACAGTTTATTCTTTCAAGACAATATATTCAAATACTACACAGAGTTTGCTATTGTTCTATATAATGTCATATGATGTAATGCTGATGCTGGTGGGTGATCTGCAGAGGCAGTGGCTGGGCGAGGTTGGGCCTATTTGTGTGACTGAGGTAATGTTTGCATTTTTAATAAGCAAGCAGATTCTTTCTTTAGTCTTAACTCTTTTGCATAAATATGACAGAGTATAATTTGTGCTCTGCAGTCCAAAAAACTGTTCCTCTTTTAAGTCAAAGGGATTTCTGTTTTTCATGGCAGTTTCTGAATTCACAATTTATTTTGACCTGTAAAGCACTTAATTGGGATTAAAATATTAGAAAATTAGAAAGTAGCAATCAATGGCCATTACAGAACACAAATGCCAGATGTAGGTTTGAGGTCAGATTTCCAAGGGTTAAACAGGCTCTGTAGTTTTCCTATATAAAATTCAGCCACTCATATTTTTTAATGAATCCCACTCTATTTTATGTCATTCTATAGGAATGAAGTGTTTGCAGTGTTAGTTACATTTTACATATTAATTTTTAGAAATTATTCTTTTCACTCCTGCAGATGAATATATGCGTACATGCACACACGCATATGACATTCTCTGCCACTGACCTATCATTTTTGTTACTGACCTTTGATATAGCATAACGGATTGTCTTGTCTTGCTGCAAAAGGAAGGGACTGTTCCTATTACCAGCAAGGAAAAATCAGATATACACAGTGTAGATGCCTGAGTGATAGCTAGCAGCTTTGTTGGGAGTTCTGTGTTTGGTTGTTGAGAACATGACGCATATGGAGTAGGTTCTGATAATTGAAACGAGCTAGGGGCTTTTCTTTTTGTTTTTTTTTTCCCTAATGTAAATCTCTTTGTTAAATTTAAAATTTTATTTTATTTGAAAGATAGAAAAGACATAGAAATGGAGAGAGAGATCTGTTCACTGTTTCATTCCCCAAATGCCCACAACAGCCAGGGGTGGGCCAGGCCAAAGATGGGAATCTGAAACTGTCCAGGTCTCTAACATGATTGATAGGGACCCAACTACAACTACTTGAGCTGTCTCCTGCTGCCTCCTAGGTTGTGCATTAGCAGCGAGCTGGAGGGAAGTGGAGTAACCAGGGCTCCAACAAGCTCTCTGATACGGGATACGGGTGTCCCAAGCGGCAACTTCACTGCTACACCACATGCCCACTTCCTGGGGCTTTTCTTGATGGAGCGAAATCTCATGAACAACAGTGGAGTCTCCCAAATCATGTGGAACATTGAGGAGAGTGCTGGAGATTACAGCTGGGGAAGAATGGTGTGATAGAAATGACAGAGCAGGGTGATAGGCGCATGTGAGGGAACTAGGCGTCATAGGGCTGGTTTCTGATAACCTTCTCACCCTCTCATCTCTCATCCAGGCAAATAGCACAAAGGTAGAAAGTCTGCATTCATCAGACATCTGTCTACTTGCTGTCAGACCTTACCGTGTTGGAAAATGGTGTACCAATGCAGGGGATGAAAAGGTGGCTCTTGCTCAGAGCCATGGTCTCCTCTGAAAGGCTTAACATGACCTCTAAGCCCAGGGTGGAACCTAAGTATATTTTCACCCAAGCACCGTGTTTGAAGAGTTGATAACTTACTCCTGATGACTTTGTAGATTTCTGTGTGTAAAAACTCTTCAGTTAGCCTTTTAATCATGGCTGTTAACCAGTAGAGTGTTA